TGATCCTTAATAGGAGGAGATACTGCCAAACGCGAATGGGATTCGGTCTCAATGTAGCGCCGGCCATCATGAAAGCCATCGTGGATGCTGTTCTATCAAAGGATGAGACAATTCGTCAAGCGACATCAGCTTACATTGACGACATCTACATCAACGAAAACTTAGTGCCCGCTGCACAGGTGAAAAAGCATCCTGCTGACTTTGGGTTCGAGTGTAAGAACCCAGAACGACTGGAGGACGGTGCTCGGTTTGCAGGTCGGGGGTGGGGAGCACAACGTGGAAACGTAGAAGCGAGCTCCCAGATATTCCCAGTCACATGACACGACGCAGCTTGTTCTCGTTATGTGGAAAGCTGGTGGAACATTTTCCTGTGGGCGGTTGGATCTGCATTGCAGCTGCATTTATTAAATGTAAGTTGACTGCTGTCACTTCCGGCTGGGATGACAAAACAAATGATGCTCCCCTTAGAGACATGATAGCGGATGTCATTACCAGGGTGCGTCAAAATGACCCCTTACGTGGTAAATGGTGCGTTGACGGATGTGAATTTGACATCTGGGTCGACGCAAGCTCCCTTGCAATAAGAGTGTCTCTTGAAATAGATGAAACTGTCGTGGAAGACACGTGTTGGTTGCGTCCCGAGAAGGATACATAACATATCAACCTGTCGGAATTGTACGCCGTTATCAAAGGAGTAACCGAGGCCCTTCAATGGAATGCAAAGGTGTTGCATTTGTTCACGGATTCCGCATGCGTGCATAAGTGGATAGCAGACACTCTTACGTGGACGGCCAGGATACGTACAAAGGCTGCGGGCGAAATGCTCATTCGAAGGCGGTTAGACACACTGAGAAAGTTGGTAAGTGAGTACAACTTATCAGTAGATATACAGCTGGTCAGATCAAATCGGAACAAGCCAGACACTTTAACAAGGGTACCCAAGAGATGGTTTGACGCTGTTAAGAAAGAGGTAGAGCTGGTAGGACATATCTGTGCAACATCAGCGAACGACCGTAACTCAGATTTACTAAAATCTGTGCATTGTCAAAGCGGACATCCCGGTGTAAAACGGACTCTATATTTCGTGAGGCAGATTTATCCCTCCGTATCCAAAGCTGCTGTCAGGGCAGTGGCCAGAAAATGCAATGGCCAAAAGGACAACTGAGTGTGAGCAAAGTGTGGCACCGTGTTGGAATGGATATCACTCATCATAATGGAACTCACTATCTAACTCTGATTGGCTGTGGCCCAACCTGGTTCACTATTTGGCGACGTCTGCGTCAAAAGGATTCCGCAAGTGTGATTGACCACCTGCGGGCGTTGTTCTTTGAACGTGGACCTTCGACAGAACTCCTCACTGACAACGACACTACATTCCGCAGTGGACTATTTAAAGATTTTTTAGATTCGCGAGGAGTCCACCTCAGATTTCGGTTTGCATATGTCTCATCAGGAAATGGCATAATCGAGCGGTGCCATCGGAACGTCAAGAGAATCGTTGCTAGGAAGCAGTGTTCCATAAGAGAAGCGGTGTATTGGCACAACGTTACCCCTAAAGACAATGTATCACTCTCACATGATTTACCAGTACAAAGTCTGGCTAAGAGGCATTGACGCGACGCATTCAACTGAACAGATAAAAGAACGAGCGCCGTATGAACTGGGCGATCGCGTGTGGGTAAAAGCCCCACATAGCCGGTGTATAACTCGGTACCAGGTGGAGCAAGTCACTGGAATCAGTAACTCGCGCAGTGTGCTGGTTGATGGAATGCCAAGACACGTAAAAGACTTGCGGTCCTATGTAGGTTCTGATACTTCAGCAAGTGACACTAGAAAGAATAATCACTATCGGAGGTGGGGTTAGCACCTCTTCAGATGGCAAAGACTCTGTGCGTGAGGTTGTCAGATCAGAAGAATCCTCAGAAGATGAGTCTTCAGAACATACCACACAATCCCCTCCAACAGTCGCCCCGCTCCGGAGAAGCTCAAGAATAAAGAAGTCCGCCCCAGAGTGTCATTTATGTGACAGGGGGAGTGTAGTGAAAGAGATAATCAGCTAACTCGAAAAAAAGTTCGTGTTTTGTGTGCGATCTGCCGAAGAAAAATTACTAAAAAGTAGTTTGCAAAAATCTACTTTAAGGACCAGAATCTATGCTAATGTTCTTCCCTCCCCTAAATGGCGTGAACAATCAGAAAGATCTCTCGGTGAACAAACACCGTTGTTTTTCGCTTATGCGGCATTAGATTTCTTGAGCTTGGTGGACGAACATGCGTTTTACTGGTGAGAAGTGAGGGTTGGATGTGTGACCCGATTTTGTCGTTTCTACGTTGCCCGTTGGACTGTTACGATGGAACTGTGATTTGGCTACAAGTGTTGCGGTCGAGAGACAGAAGAAATCTATTGCAGACGTTTATTGCTACTATAAGTTGACAGTTTTTTCTTTCTTCTTTTTCTTTTCTTCACAACTACAATAGAATACACACTATAAAATACTTGAAGTATACAAATGAATATGTTTCACCACAGGAGACGGCATTTTAAAATGTATTTTAAATAATTAGAAGGCGCTTATGCGCATTCTAATTATTTTAAATACATCGTTCTACCCATGACGTCATTTATTTGATATATTTAACTTTGGAATGAAAAATTCCCAAAATGCCAGGATACAGTTACTAGCAGCTCGTGTCTATGATAATAACAATATTTAGTTCTTGATAATGACAGGATGAGGTCAAAAACCCTCGAAAAAAACAAAAAACAAATTAAAACAGCAAAAACGTGCACTTTGAATAGTTTAACTGCAATTTTGAATTCAAATTTGCCAATTGGAAAACTATAAAAATAGAATAAAAAATTAAACATTCAAACCACGTCAGTTGAATTTAATACAACATATATGTGTGTGTGTGGAGAGAGAGAGAGAGAGAGAGAGAGAGAGAGAGAGAGAGAGAATTGTGTCCATGAAATGCATTTTCTATCAATTTTGTTAACATTAATTTTGATTATCATATGAAAGTTAATAAAATTCATTCATAATAAAGAATTAAGTCATTTGTTGGAATCATATGATGATTCTCTTCAAATGAAGAAAATATCTGCACAAAATCCGTATTTATCAACTTATATCTCTGTAACACTTTTTAAATTTGAAAATTTTCCTACATTTTTTTCTTTATAATGAAAGTTTTAAACTTTTAACCACTATCGAATGTTGAGGTGAAGACAGCGTGTGCATATATTTTCGATACAATATATATATATATATATATATATATATATATATATATATATATATATATATTTGGTATAACATAGACCTTTGTGCTGTAAATCTTCAAAGGCAAGAGTAATGGTTAATATAACCGTTTTAATGTTGAAAAATCAAAAGAAAATGGTTAAATCCATCATATATATATATATATATATATATATATATATATATATATAGAGAGAGAGAGAGAGAGAGAGAGAGAGAACAAGAAATGAACTGATTAAGAATATACATATGATTATTTATATATACCAATATATACATAATAATATACGTATAAAAAATAGATACAGCGGCAATTACTGAAATCGATTGATTTCAGCAATTGCTACCACTCCTCATTTGTTTTTTTTAAATACGAGTACACATGCACACACACACACACACACACACACACATATATATTTTTCTTTATCTAATTTAATTAATTTTAATCTGTTCATTTTTTTTTTTAGTAAATTCTTTTTAACAATTCTTTTCTTCTGGAAATACACAAAAATACATATTTATTATTAATATGTGTTTTAGCTCTTACTAATTTACATCGAACATCATTTTATTACCTCCAATGTTCACTATTACACACGTACATGCGCGCGCACACGCACACACACAGGCACACATACACACACACACACACACGCACACGCGCGCGCGCACACACACATGTATAGGGATAGAGATGTACGTTTGCAGGTGTTTCTGCTCATATACCCACTCAAAAACAGGCAGAAAGAGTTCGATGTGTACAGACTGTTAATAAATCAACCTTGCATGTTGCCTGTCCTTTTCAAGGTACAAGCGACCTTCAGGCTATGTGTCACTAGTTTTTGCGCAAGCGGTCTTTATACATAAGCCATTGTGAGTTATTGCAAGATGGAAAAGGCGGACACCGTCTCTTCCTAATCCCTTTAAATGTATAAATGACCTACAGTTTACATATTTATTTATTTATTTTGGGTATGTTTTCTTCGGTTCTAAATTTTAGCATTTTAAATAAATTTTATTAGATTTTTTAACTGATGGCATGTTGCTTTGTCTTTTGCATCATGAGGTGGTGGCTGGTATTCCAATTACTTTTCTGCTACTTACAACCGCATTGCAACTCAAAAGGCTAAAAAAAATAAAAAAAATAAAAAATAAACATCTAAATCTAATAAACTTTACTTTAAATAAACTTTAGAAACGAAGAAAATAAATAAATAAGCAAAGTAAAGGTGATGACTATAAATAATTTAAAACACCAGGCTTTCTTCACTTCCCCTTTATTCCTCGGTGGAGCCTGTTAAAATACTAGTGACACAGGGTCTGAAGATCATTTAAATCTATGTCGCTATACAGTATATTGAGACACACACACACACACACACACATATATATATATATATATATATATATATATATATATATATATATACACACACATACACATATATAACGGGTTGCTGAAAAGTCAGCAGCCCGATCAATGATCAAAATGTGATTACAAAATGTTCTGATGTATAGTCATTTGATCAGATTTTTTGGAAATATATATATATATATATATATATATATATATATATTGTGTACATGAAAAAAACGTGAATGTGACAATGTACAGGTTCGTAGTGACCATGGATATATATACGTATTTGCATATAAATATATATTTATGAGTGAGATGTTTCTACGCATGCGCCGGTGCATGCGTGTGTCGTTTTTTTTTTTGTTTGTTTTTTCTTCTTATATCATGCGCTGCATTTCCGCATTATCCTTTTTGTCTGATTCTTTCTTTAATTCTCTGGCCAGTTCCCAATTCGAGACCGAGCGTAACGGAATGCATAACAAGCCGGCTGCTATGAGAGTCGCGCCTCCCATATAGAACGTCGCATTATAGCTTCCATACCAGTCTGATAATAAACCTGTGTAAAGGAAAAATGAAAGGATACAAAATCAGAGATTTGTGAAATTTATTGCTGAACGGAAAGAATTATCATTTTTCCATTAAAAAATATTACTTAAGTACCGCAAACAATATTTTGCAGACTCATGTGAGTCTGGGTAAAAAAAAAGGTATAAGACATGCAATTTAAACAATCAACAATTAATGTAGGGACCTCCACAGAAACGCGATTCCTAATGTTTAAAATGAATTTTACAAAATGAAAAATCTTTCTTGAAGCTTTTATTTTAGTTTTAGTTTCAAGCTAATAGATTAAGTTTAATATTTCTAATAATGAAAATACTTTGCTGTATTGCAAAATTAATTTAAATTGACTGGAAGGAGTTTTTTGTTTTGAAATCGTCAAAAATCACTGATTTTAGCGTCATTTTTAGCCATCAGTGTTATTTTCTTTATTAAAAGATCTTTCAAAAATAAAATATACTTTTCTGAAACTTTATTTGAGGAATATAAGCTGATTTAAATTTTAATTAATTTGATCTGAAATAAATATTACTTTCTTTTAGTATTTTAAACTAAAAAAGAAGAAATGCATTTTTAACACGGAAGTTGGTGTTTAAGGTGTTGACAGGTTGAAGTTTATCTAATATTTTTTTCTATGATGGACATATCAGTAAAAAATTACTTGAGGAATATAACGTGAGCTCTTTTTTATATCATTTCTTCTTTTTAACTACCCAGTAATTTTAAACATTTAGAAAAATATTCTCCATAATCTAATGTTTATTGAATTTTAGGTACTTCGGCTTTAAATTTACTATAGTTATCGATATCATTTTCTGATAATGTCACATATTGACGTCCATATTTACATAAACGCACGTGCACACGCACACACACACAAACACACAGATAAAAATTCTTTTTCAAATATTGTAGGTTGATGAATTGTAGTAAGCTTTTCCATTTATGATGAGTAAATATAGTTTTTACTTAATAACAATATCACCAAACCGGTACAAATTTATACAGAAATTTAAAAGATTGAAAACTTTATAAATTATTCTAATTAAATTTTTTAAAATATGAAAACAATTCTTGTAAAAATGAATTATTCATCGAAAAAAAAAAAGTTTCTCATATCACAATAGTGTCGATAATATATCTTATTCATAAAAGCAATTAAAAACTTTTCTAATTAAATAATGTATCAGTCTTATTGCATTTTTCATTTTACGGTTCACAGCAGATTTTCAGTAACTGTGGGGGAGGGGTCCTGTTTTACAAAAAAAAAATGACCATTTAAATTCTTTAAGGAGTTTTGCATATAACTAATATAAGCCATATAAAATTAATTTCTCGAAATTTCATGAAACTATATAAGTGTGGGGTGTGTGTGGTTTAACAGATAAAAAAATGTTTGTACCAAAATCTTTAAAAAAAACAAAAACATATCTGAAATAATTTCATTCATTTGTGAATAAGTCCTGAAAGTTTAATTAAAATCCAACAATTATTTGATTTTTGCAAGAATTTTCAAATCAATGTGCTTTTCACCTCTAAAAAGACGCTAAAAATTCACATACTAATCTTTGGTCCCTTGTCCCCAGACGCAAGAAAAAAAAATTTAAACAAAATTTCAAACGTTCTAAGAAGGATAAAAAATATAATTTAATAATAAAAAAAAAAAAAGTCTTAAAACATAGAGATTTTAACGATGAAACTTTTTAATTAAATTTGGAGAATTTTTTTTCATCATGTTGTTCTCATATTTAGCGAATCTGTGAACATACCTAAATAAATGTATTAACAATAAAAAGCGCGTACTGGGTATGACGATAAACTACATATGGAAGTAAGGCCTCTGATCAGGAGGTTTTAAGAGCGTGAAACCACCTCTTAATTGCTGGTACTCCCAGGTCTAACCTGACTCGGGGTGGTAGCACATGTTAGGGTGCCAGTTATGGGCAAATAATTAACCCCCAAACTGGAGTCAAAATATTATGAAAGTTTAAAGATAGGTTTTAATACTAGTAATACATTATTGGGGAAAAAATATTACCAGCAATACATTTTGAAAAAAAAAAAAAAAAATACCAGCAATACATTTTGAAAAAAGAAATATTATCAGCAATACATTTTGAAAAAAAAAAAAAATTACCAGCACTAAAAATCTTGTCGAACCCACTGAGGTTGATATGATGAAACCAAACCAAACAATGAAAAGCGACAAAAAAATAAAGAAAGAAATGAATTTTATCGTTGTATTTAGTTCAACACCATCTTCAGTTGATGTTGTAGCTGAAATACAACATCATCACCTATCTTGGTGGTGTTGAATACAAGCCACTTGTTTTACTGGAAAAAGAGGAAGTGCGTGTTGCCGTTCCCTAATTCAAATAAAAGGGGAATAAACTTTTTTAAAATAGCACCACTGTGTGATTATTGTCAGGGGAAGTAATCCAACAAATTTATTGAAAAATTTGTAAAATTATCTCCCGCTTTTTACTTTTATTTTTTTTTGCAATTATTTTCAAGGACCCGTTTGTCATGTAGACATTATTTCTTAAAGGAAGAAAGGAATACTTTTAACAGCGCCAAGGGTTTATACATACAACGCATGCACTACATGCCTTAATTATTTTTCGAGGATAATTAATTATTGATAATTTTCACTGTCCTTGTGCTCTCGATAATTAAAAAATATCTCCCACCGTATAGACTCGTGTCTACTTCATGTATAGTGTGACCACAGCATTTTTTTTAATATATAGCTCGTGCATAATACGACCCTAACTTCTGAGAAATACTAGTAAACCAACTGAATGGTGAACTGTTTCGAAAATTTCTACCGGGAAAACTTGCAAAAGAGCCCAGTTAAATGAACACACTAAATTCCAAAACATAGTTAAATGAATCAAATAAAAATAAAGGTTTTAAATGTTACAGAATTCAATATTATTTTATTTGTTTATGTTAATGCATGTATAATACAAATACTAAAAAATTTTAATAATTTTATAATAATCTTTGGGGACTACCGGGAAATTTTCCGGTATTCTGGTGGGCCAGAGTATGTACGGTATTCCTTCATTTCTTAACATAAACTGTGAACAAGCGACATTAATAGATTATTACAAATAGAGAAGGGTCCGGTTTCTGTATACAGTTGCCACGCCAATTCTATGAGCTTAAAATTGAAACTTAAAATGTAATTTGATTTTTAAACGTTAAATCTATTTAACTTCTAGCATAATATAGACTTTTAACTTAAAAAATGTTTCTGAATTATTCTTTAAAAAATAAAATAGAAATTTCCATGGTGAAGATAATGTTTTTAATACAATAAAATTATTTTCAAACATACTTGCGCAAAGGCAACACTTAAGTTCGATATTAAGATATACCCTGTTTATAGAATTGATATAATTATTTTCAAATGAATAAGGGGAGACTATTCTGTGATTAGCAAAATTCCAACTATGTCTCATGGATTTCTACTATTCTCTAATCAACAGGAATCTATTGTAAAATGATTTTTGATCAAAAATGCATACAATTTAAAAAGATTAGTTTTTGCAATGAAGTACAGAAATATTGATGCAAGGACAGAAGCAGAAATGAAAATCTGAATCATTTTGTATAAAATAAGGAGAGACGTGAAATAATGAAATAAATGCTTATGTTGTAAAAAAGACGTCTATATAAAAACATTTAATAAAATAGCTTTCCTTTTTTAACGTACACTTATCATTCTTTCACGAGTCACATGATCTAATGCAGAAATGTTTTCTTTTGATTTTCTCTATCAATATCCATAGGATTTTCCTTCTCAATGTTTGTAACAAATACAGAGAAATGTAGAAGAGAATGATAGCTTAAGTTAAGAAAGACTGTCTCGGAGCTACGAGAATTCGCGTGAGTACGCAAGGAAGGAAGAGAGCGTTCGTTTTTGGAACGCGGTGCTTTTTTTTTTAGTTGGAAGAGACTGGGACAGTTAGAAAGCGATTATTTGGTATAGTTTCACACAAGCTATTTCGGCAAAAATGACAGAGGGGAAATTTGACCCAAAACTTATTGCCGAGTTTGACAGCTCTTTGTCTGGACCATCTGTGGTCGAATGGATTGAGAAAACTGCAAGATTTGACAGGTTAAACGTCTAGGACACGTAGTTCATTTAAGGCTGATGGGTGGTGAGTTTGCTGTCTACCAGCAGCTAAGAGAGGAAGAAAAGGAGGATTTCAGCCAGATAAAATTCGCACTGTACACAGCTTTTGGTACGGACATTTTCTGGCTTATGTGCAATTTGCTGAGTGACGGCTCCATCCCGGAGAATTAGTGGATGCCTATCTGGCGAAATTACGAAAACTTTCCATTCTATTCGGCGGAATGAGCGACCGTGGCCTGACATGTGCGTTCGTACGAGGGTTATCAGACCGAGTTAAACACCTCCTCCCTCCGTGCTTCGACCCGGATGGACGAATTGTCTATGGACCAGCTGTTGACTCGAGCGCGAGCAATTATGAAAGATGAAGTACTGGAAGTGGGACTAGCAGTAGCGGCGGTGCGAACAACACAGGATGTGGGGAGGTAGATCCAGGGCAAGAGGCCTCAGCGCCAGTCTATTCTCCGAGCTCCATACGAAGGGGGAGCTACTCGCAATTGCTGTACGCATCAATGGAATCAAGAGTTCAGCCTTGCTAGACACAGGTGTTTTTGATCGCACGTAAGCAAACCGCTTTGTCGCTCTTGGAAGAGGAAGGAAGTGCTCACTGTAGGTGAAAGAACCCTCGAGCGCGTTGGGGTATGACATTCAACTTGACGTGAGCAAGAGGCCCCCTATTGACGCTGAGGTTCTGGTTCTGGACGACAAATTGCTTGGTTTCGATCTGCTACTCGGATTTGACATTATTAAGAATTTGGGAGGAGCATGTTTGTCCAGCGATGGGACTGCGAGCTTTCCTCAACTTGACCGACCTTTGTTCGCGGCCATCACCATCAACGAACCTGACTTCCATG